AAAGCTTATCTTTTTATACAAAAATGCATAATATAATATTACAATTAAATAAATAAAAATAAAATCTTAGAACTTCCTGGAAAACTGCAGCACTTAATTTGTAACTCATATACATAAGAAAATAATATAAATAATATGTAATATAAATAATAAGTAATATAGCAATAATATATATAAGTAAAATTGTGACATTTTGTTTTAATTTAACACATTACGCAAAATAAATTTCATATTATTGTGCCATATTACATATTTGCAATTAACAAAAAAGAACTGTTACAGGCGAGGGAAGATTAATGGAAACAGTCATTGACAATTGATGCAATCTTGATAAACTCCAGGGCCAAACACCCCCTCCCTGGAATTCTGTTGCATCATTATATCATTGGGGGTGCCTTGGTCAGATTAGCCTTGTGCACACGAGGAAGATGTGAGAATGACTGTAAGTGTTCAAGGTAGTGTAGCATGTGTGCTTCAACATCTATAAAATTTCTGATAATAATCAAACATTGCATATTTGAAATGTTTCTTTTTCAACAATCAGTCATGCTGCCTTGACATCTTGTGATTCTAATAATATAATAATATTATTAAACAAAAAGCAAAATACCAATCATTTGTTTACTTACTATCTTGATGAGGATCTTATAATTACCCATCCCACATTTTGATTTCAATTAAAATACTTATAAACTAAAATATATATATCAATACAAAGTACATCTGGTTAGTTATTAACATGTCTTCTTTAGGAGAACCATGTTTTGTCATTGAAAAATAAGATTGTTTTTCCAAAAAAAAAGTCAATCATGCATCAACAAAAAAAACCTGTGCAACACCAAGAGCCAATAATAAATAATTAATGATGCATTTGTCGATCAAATAACATTTCTTTTTAAAATTAAATAAAATGCCTAAATCCTTCACCAAAAAAAGAAAAACAGAGAAGGATCATGTTGAAATAATTCATGAGTAAGTGTTTTAAGAATGGTGGTGGTGGTTAGTACCTATGCAAAAAGACCAAAATCTGAGAAAAAAGTAAGTGAAAATCATATTCTCTTTGAATGGACAATCAATCTGGATTTTGAATATTAATACAATTCTAATCTGCAGAAAAATGAAAAAAATAAAGAAAATATTTCCAAAAATAAGGAAGTAGAATTACTCTCACCTTCTTCAACAAATGGTTCATTAGATATCATTAACACCATTGATAAATTATCTCCTGAAGTAAATCCTAATTTTTCATAATGCTGTCAATATTTATCATATTTATTGAAACAATTGGTAAATTCTTCTAGCTTCCAGAATACTTAAAGAATGAAAATAGATTAGCATTCTATAATATGCTTATTCGACAATACATTCCCTTACATGAAGAAGATCATGGAAATATTTTCAAATCATGAAATCAAAAATTTTAACAAAAGATGGGAAACAGTAATTTAGTTTTTATATTTAGACATTAATCATTTATGGATTAATATAAATTATAAATTAATATACAGTTGACTTTCGATATAGTGAAGGGTTGGTTTTTAGCAAAAAAACTTCACTATACATTATATAGAGAGTTTATATATTAAAATCACTATATCGAGCTGAATCTATTATAATGGAATTTCACCAACTTCACTATATAGTATGATTCACTATACGGTAGGTTCACTATATCGAAAGTCGACTGTACTTACCAAATTGCTTATTCTTTTAATATCATAAGGTACACAATAACATCAAAAAAATTATATTAATGATCAATATAATGCTAGTTCTCTAAAAATAGAGTAATCATTGATACTAACACAAACTTAGAAAATTTTAATGTTAATTTAAACAAGATGATCACAGGGTTTTTAGAATCCCCAATAACTGGCAAGTACAAAAACGGATTCCATGAATCATTATGGTGTCAAGATATATTTAAAAATATGTAAGTGATTGGTTCTTGTGCATTGTTGAGTGATTGTTGCATGAGTTAGAGTTTTTTTTTGTTATTAGGGTTAAAGAATTTCAGAGAGAACATTCAATGCTGATTGATAAAGAAGCAAGCAAGTCCTGATATTGTTAATCTGCTGCTAGCTTCAATCCTTCATGATGTTGAAAGATACATATGGTTTGAAACGTAAGTGCTATTGTTGAAAGTTTTACCATTCCAATTATGCAGATCTTAATTTTCATGTTGATATGGAACTAGGGGTGAAATAGAAAACCAAGAAAGAAAGGAACAAAAGAATAACTATAAAAAAAAAAATGAAAGGGAAAAGATTGGGGATAAGCATGATGGCCTGTTATATATGAATATCATAAGTGGTCACATACTATTAAAATCAAGTGATCAACTCATGTTTTTAAGGGATTTTTTGCTGTTTTAATAGTGTGTAACCCCCTTAATGATATTCATGAATAAAAACCCTAGAAGTTGCATGGAGTGAAAAGGTGGTGGGTTTTTTTGGAGGTTGTTGGCAATGCATTAATCAAGAACACCTTATTTAAAAACAAGGATTTGGAGAAATTGTTAAAAGGTATATTTTCTATAATCTCTTATTCATTTATTTGATTCAAACATGTATGGTAGTTGACACATTGCTCTAGCTATATTTTAGTAATGATGTTATCATTGTGGTATAAAAATGCACAACATAATTATGATGAATTGAAATTCAAACTACAATCATTCGGAATATTAGTATATGGTAAGTATTACTCAAGAGTTTTCAATCATCTTGATCAGAAAAACACTGACTGATACAAACATTTTAAAAAGGATGGAAATTTCATTTTCTAAACATGATTCTTGATAATAATATGTATATTGTAAAAGAATTTGATTTTTTTATTATTCCAGATGTGGAATTAGAATTTCGGCAAATAGTAAATGTGGTAATGTCAGTAAAAAGATTCAAAGTAGGTTTTTGATTTCTATTCATGTATAAAACATTGATTCAGAATTCTTGAAAATTAATTTGTTACTTTTAAACTATAAGAGCTTAGGATTTTAAAATATTATCAAGATTTGAGTAAGCTCACAACATTAAAAGTTATAAAACCAATTGATATTAATGTGCCACCATCAACACCACCTTACTGTTAAAAGATAATAATAAAAATAAATGGTTTTTATTAAAGCAATTCACAATTATTTAAATAAAAAAATAAAGATTAATTTGGAAAAAGTATAATATGGTGCGTTCCAAAATTTAAAGTTTCAATCACAAGTGACTTCAGAAATTTTAATTAAAATTATTATTATACATAAGGAATAATTCTCCTATGAGATTTATACTTCTTTGTTGCATATTCTATTAATTTTCCAGTAATTCACACAGATTCATACATTTTCACATTCTTATTACCAATCTCCTTATTTTAACTAAGTTCACTGAATCTAAAGCAACAGGGACTGTGGCTTGTAAATCACTACATGAATAATAATAGTATTCCTTTTTTCAATCTCAGCACCTTTCCATATTGTGAGAATGCAATTTTTTTTGTATTTTTTTTTTTTGGTATTTATCATCATATTTTTTATTTGTTCTTTGCTTTTATAAATAAAAAAGTTTGTTTTTTTTTTATTTCATGCAATCACTACCACCATTCTAATTAATGTTAAGTTAAAAATGGATTAAAAGTCTGTGTTCAGTTTTTATAATGAAAAGTTTATTTGTATTCAATTAACAATAAAAATCATAACCAAACTGTATATTAATGACAAAATATTTTTTTTTTATTAGTAAACAAGCTTACAACTGAGAACGCAATGTGAGCTTTTGCTTTTCATCTATTACACAAACACAGTTGGGTTTGGGTTGCATCTTCTTTGTCGCAAAGAACAAAAAAATGGCATGACTTACATGTTTTGGAAGGAGATCTCAACATGGCAAATATTTTATTATTTTCTTGTGTTAATTAATCAAATAAATAATAGTGGTGGTGGTAAATTATAATTCACATTTGTTACTCTAATTTTATGTAGGAGTGGTTTAAGGAAACAGAGAAAATAACAAATGAAAAACTGATCACATAACAATTATGCTGATAATGACTAAATTTTGATCCCTGAAATTCTTGGTAATACCAATATTCACTTTGTCTGGTTTTGTTACAGCATGTACCATATATGAAAAATCCATTAAATCCATTAAATTGAGATAAAATAACTATAGAAAGATTTGGTTTTGAAAATTTATCTGTTAAACCCCTAAATCTGCTAAATCGAGATACACTGTGTACACCCTCATAGAAAGGATATAAGTATATATTAAAAGAATAAATAAATAATATCATGGTAAATATCTTAAAAGAACAACAACAAGCAAATAAAGTATTAATTGAAGAAAACAAAACTTAAAAAAAAGCAATTTGCAGATAAAGAAGAAAACCTTAAAGTAAAAATCTGACACATTACTGGTCAGTCTCTTAATGACAAGGGTGAAGTTAGCCTTTATGCTCCTAAGGGAACATGATGATACAAAAAACTAAATAAGAAGTGAATGGATGAGGGCAAATTAAGAATGACAGTAGATCCATGAAACTAGGGAATGAGTTAAAAACTGTAAAAGAATTTGATTTGATAACATTATAATTGAAGAAATGTTAGAAGGGTTTATTGATTATTCAAATGTCATCGTCAGAGGTGATGTCAATATTAAAATTTCAAACCCCTCAAGGTATCACCCCTTCATGGCTCAAATATCAAAAGTTCTAAAACTAGCCCCATGTCACTGCAAAGATAAAAAATTCCCATATACTGGTTCAACCAGTCCTAGTAAAACACCAGACCAAAACTTTTTTTTTTATAAATCCAATTTTCTCTTTTTTATTTTACTAAGACCACTAAGACCAAAATAGTAAATAAATTATTATCAGCAAGATTTGGATACGATCTCAAACTATCAATAACAGTGGGATTTTTCATTTTTCTATATGTTTTTTACCCTTGGTTTGCTTGGTACCTTAATTAGAAGCTTTTGGAATCCTGTCAAAGTATTCTTTAATAATATTCTTAGGGCTATGTAGTAATTTTCTATGTTTAATGATCAACCACTGTGACCAACCCAATAATTTAGGGAATTGCTATTTCTCACCGGTGGTGATTGTCACCACCTAAGGAATTATACAACTTATGATTAACCCCAACCCTAACTCCACCCAAGCAAATTTAATTCCTTAGGTGGTGACAATCACCACCGGTGAGAAATACATTAAGAAATTGATTACTTCACGTCTCAGAAAAATGTTGCTTTTTGATTCTTTTTTATTTTTAATTATAATGTTTTTAATTAAGTATAATTTATTTATTAACTTATTAAAAAGTAATATTCCGAATAATAACAAAATCAAAAGCAAATTGCCAATTATTTTTGCGAGCTATTATATATAGTTAAAAAAAAATGGTGGCGGTGATTAATGTTAACTGAAGGTGATTCTAATGTGGCAGCAATGTTTGTATGCGACGCATCAGAAGAGCAAATAAAAGGAAGCAACCTCCAATATGAGAAATTTCAGATGCAGATGTTGATGGGAGACGTTTCAAGGAATAAAATTTTCCATCATTTATATCCTTCACTATTAAACCAACCAGAGTTTTTTACAAATATTCATTACGTTACTAGTTAGTAATTTCATTTAGTTATTTTGATACTATTTACACTTTAATTCTTAAATGTATTTATTTGATGATTATTTATTAGGATCTTGAATAAAATAAAAAATTATTTATTTATGTTGTATGTGAAATTGAAATTATGTGAATTGCGAATTCACATAATTTCATTTTCACGTACAACATTTAGAGAGATTTTCACACACGTTAGATTTTTTACTTGTTTTTTTTACGTAGTAATCAAATGTATTGCCAGAATTGGCGTTTGATAAAATTAAGGGTTTGTTTTTCAGCAAAATTTCAAAGATATTCATAGTTTACAACAAATATTGTGCTATAATGACGATGCTTTAAAATAGGAATCACCATCCTTCCTATCTTTACTTTATTAGGTTAATTGCTTTAATTTTCAATTTTTTTATCATTAGCTAATTGAAACCATGAAGTTATAAAGCATCAAAAGAATTAATTATGTAAAGCAATTGCCGCAATAGCAAAGTGTCAGGAATCAAGAAATTGGATATTTGCATTTGAATTTAATATTTATAATAATAATTAACTTGAAAATTTATAATTCAATAAAATTAAATTAATCAACTTTTCAAATTTTTATATTGTTGTTTTGATGTTCTCTCAATAACAACCGCTTAAACAAGTTCGTTAAATTGAATCTTTTTAATTGATTTGCTGTAGCATATAATACAATTGTGCTACAACAACAACACAAATGTTCAATTGATTTACAGAAATCAGTATTATTGGAATTTTTGAACAATTAAATTAAATATATTGTATATAAATATTAATTGATAATTAACTTTTGATTTGAAAAATAATGGATTCATTAATATCAACTAATTCAACCACTTCAATTGTTGGATCGATTAATTCACCAATTCCACCACCTACCACCATTACAACCGCTACTACCATAACTTCTTCTAAACCTTTTATTAGGTTAAGAATTTACTCTTCAGCCTTGAACTCAATTTCAAGAATAACTACAAACACAAATTCTAGCTCAACTTCAAACCTAACTTCAGACCTAACTTCAGAATCTAACCCAACTCCAAATCAAGATTCCTTTACAGCCCGTAACAATTCATTGCCCTCGTCACGACCCATATCTAAAAGCAAGAAATGTAATAGAAGAAAACAATCAGAACCATACTCTACTTCTCGTTCTTCTTCAATAATTACAACCATGACAACAACTACGACAACAACAATGACAAAAAGGAAATTAAAAACTGGTCATGAATGTTATAATTGCGGCGTTAATGAAACACCAATTTGGCAAAAAATAAAGGAAATGCCTGACTTCATTTATTGTAATGCTTGTGGCCTTTATTATAAAAGGCATGGTGTACATAGGCCACCACATATCATTAATAAATTAAAGAAATCCACTACAAGCAGCAATAATAATGATAATAACAATAGTAGTAATAGCAGTAATAATTATGATGACAATGACAATAATGAAATTAATTGCAGCAATAATAACATTGATAGTAACAATAATAATAACAATAATAATAGTAGTAATGATGATGATATCAATAAAAACATTAACAACAACATAAATATTGTTAACAATATTAATAGTAGTAATAATAATAATAGTATAGATGATAGTAATAATATTAATAACAGTATTAATATTAATAATAGTATTTATAATAATAATAATAATTGCAACAACATTAACAATTTAAGTGTTGAAATTGAAGATTCTACATTCTCATTTTTAGCACATTATTGTAGCCAAGAATATCAAAGGATCTATGGTAACAGTGATGGCAACCTTAGAACTGAAAATACAGAATTTTCAATTCTATTGGATTACTGCAATCAAGAATATCATAGGTTCTATGGCAGCAACAATTACTACAACTACAACAATAATACTGCTACTACAACAAGCAATACTAGTTACAATACAAGTCATTTAATGAATAGAACAACCATCACCATCACCAACATGATTTGTCCAGATTACTATTATTCTACCACACTAAATCAATATGTTGATGTGAACAAGTTATCGAGACTAGTAAAATATGGCAATGAAGAATATCTAAGAGAGTTTTCTAACTGAGCTTTTATGTAATTAAAAATCAATCAATCTCAGACTATGTATCATTTTACAAGCATCATTGTATTTGGTTTATTTTCAAAAGATGATTTATTTCCTTATTTTTTTTAATAAGATAACATAATTAACTTATATATATTTTAATCAATTTTTATTGTGCTAAAAAAAATTATTTTTCCCCCAAAACATTATGAATAATCCTTTTTTTTTTTTATTGACAGATGATAAAGATTTCTCAATGTCACAAATTCCACTTTTGCTAAAAACTTTATAAGACTGTAGACTAGATATATTTTTATTTTATTTTTACCTTTGTTTTTATATAATTTAATAAAATTTATATAGCTGATTTCTATGACAAATTCCAAAAAATAGTCTATTTAAAATTAGCCAAACACTTTCATATTTGATTGGCTAATTTCACAAATATTTCTAAAAACTTGAACTATTAATTCAAATGTTCAAATATATTGAGGATGATTACAAAACACATTATTCTTGTGTTTTGGTTAATAAACAATGGCATAACTTAAGCATTCCAGCAATATGGAAAATTCCTTTTACTGCCAAAATAATAGTAATAATAAATTGTTTACTATAATTTAAAAATAATATTGAATTAAAATTTAAATTATCGAAGAAACCACCTCTACACAACTATGTAAAATTTATTACTATAATAAAAATTAGTAGAAGATATCTATGATAATGATTAATTTAATGCTTTTGGAGAAAGATCAATAAAATTCATTTTAGATTATTCAACTATCAAGATATTTATAACTAATCTCAACAGCTAACTTGACACTTGTTTTCAAAATCTTCATAGATTAAATATTCATATTTTAAGAATATATTATAATAACAATTACAACTATATATATATGGTGATGGTCTAGCTCAATTAGTCGAAGCTCAAAATCACATTAAAAAAATTATCTTTACAACTTAAAACTGGATTAATCTAATGATTTCAGAAAGGAAATCTCAATCCCGTATTCAAAATCAGTAATTGAATGGAGACATCATATAAATTCTTTGACGCCAACATTTGAAATTTAAAAATCTTATCTTTATTATTATATCATAATAATCATTTAATTTGCAACAAAATGAAAGATTTATGAGGAATATTGAAAATGTGACTTTCTCCTAATATAATGTCAAGGTTCTTTGTAAGCAAGATCTTCTGGTATAAGATTCTAAATATCTCCTGTCTAATATTGCTCATTTTTCCTAGAGAATTAGGTTTTCAGCATCATCAATCTTTTATTTAACTTCCTCAATAACACTCTGGATAAGTTCACTCACTAAATACCAAAGTCTCTCAATCAATTGATTAATACTACACATGGGACGGTTATTGTTTTGCTAAAAACGTAATATGTAATTACGAAATAAATTACGTGTGACGATATTTATTACGAACGACGAAATTAACTACGCGTGACGAAATTGAAGTTTATAATTAAAATTTTGGGGTGGGGTGTTTGAATATGAAATTCTGATTGGCTAATTTGAACGTGAATTGCAAATTCACAGATTTCATTTTGTAAAATCCATAAATTTTATAAGTACTAGCATAATATTTTGAAAATTTCAATTTTTTCAACAAAAGATATTGTCTTCATGAGCGATTTTACTTAAAATAAGACATGGTTTCTATGAACAGGCACTTTAATTATTGTAAAAACACAAGTTGTTGTTTTATTTATTTTATAATCTTAAAATAAAAAAATATATATTGGATATTGTGAGGACGAAAAGTGGTTAGTCACAAGGAAGCAATAAGATTGGCCGAACTTTCTGATAGAACGTTTTATTTAATTTAATTCTTATCATTATAAAAATAAGTCATCTTTGACTAAGTGAAAAACACCAGGTTAATTAATTAATATTTCAGAGCCTTGCTAAATAAGTAAATTTGATAGAATTGGATGAAATCGGGTAATCTTTGCAGATATTCATTCAAGTAATATTAATATTTATTTATACTTATGTGTATGTACATATGATATTAAATGGCAGCTAACTAATAATAATGTTCATTTTTTATAGAGTTATAAAGTTTAAATTGTGTTCAGTCACTTGTTTATCTGGTTGCATATAAGAAAACTAATTTGTGCTCCCACAGGCATTGTAATATATTTCTTTAAAAAATTTTTTTGTTTTTTTTTTATATATCTATTTGGTGAGATTAATTTTTAAAATAAATGATTGCTTAATTAAAATAGGGAAAAACCAACATTGCTATATTAACAATACTATGTACTATTCATGATTCCTTCAATGTCACCTGAACCACAAATGTTCGATATTTCAAAAATTAGATTTTAAAATTGTTTATATTGCTTTAATGAAAGCATTGGCAGCAGAAATTGTAAAAAATTTAGTAGTTGTTTGGCATGGTTAGACATCCTAGTTAAAGAATTTACAGGTTGTTATTACTATTATTACTATTTATAATTTTCAAATCAACAATTATTTAATTGTGTTTTTTGTTTCTATAAATTGTATAGGCGATATGAAATTAACTAGATCAGAGATCATCAATATATAAATAATTGTTACTACACCTGAAAAATGGGATGTAGTGACAAGCAAAGGCACTGAGATGTTGAATTATCCAGGTATATATTTATTTATTTATTTATTTATTTATTTAATTATTTATTCTAAATACAATGAAAATTTACTGATGAAGTCCATTTATTGCATGACTATCAAGATGCTGTTCTTGAATGTTTAGTTGCTCATACTTGTCATCAAGTATATGTTGCCTTTAATTGAAATTAATTTTATTGTATAAGGTTTTTTAACCAACAATCAAATAAATATTAAATAATTTTTTTTATTTTAAAGATCAAGTCTAGTCAATCAATGATTCAAATAATAGGTCTTTACTGAATTATGTTGATGTTGCAAAATTTTTAAGGTACAAACTGTTTAATTTAATCATCAATATATATTGATAATTTCAATTTTAATATTATGGAGTGTATAATAATTCTTGATTTTTGTAATTTTATTAGAGTGGATCTAAATAATGGTACAAAAGGACTATTTTATTTTGATGGTGAATCTAGATTGGCATCATTAGGACAACATTTTATTGGTGCTAAATGAAAATCTGGAACAACCATTTCCAATGATAATCTTAATAAAGTTTGTTGGAGTAAGGTATACATACATGCTTAGTATATTTATTTGAAAAGTAAAATAATATAAAATAAAATACTATATTTAAAAAAATTATTTAAATGGGTTTTATATACTGTAAAAGAAGGGCATCAAGTAATAGTTTTTGTTCATTCTCGAAATGACACAATGAAAACTGCATAATTGTTTCATGAATTTGCTATTTCACAAGGTTATACAGGTATGGTAGATGTATGTGAATGTAGCAAATTTAAAGATTTGAAATCAAGAAAAGAAGAAGCTCAGAATTAGATAAATTACTTTTAAGTGGCTTGCCTCACCAAATAAAGGTGTGTATTGATATACTTTTCATAAAATTTATTGGTCAAAAACTTTTAACTTTTTTTTTCTTTTGGATTTTAGCAAACTCCCGACTCAACACTTGGAAAAGTTGATATTCTACTACGATCATATATGTCAAGAATACCAATTGAAAGTTTTTTTGATATCTGATTCACATTTTGTTGTTCAAAATGCAAGTAGAATTGTTCGACACCTAATAATGTATTGATTGGTGCACCAACTGGAAATAGTTACTGCTGAACTCACAATGTGATAAGTTTATATATTTTATCTATTATTTATTACTTATTATTATATTGAAGGTCTTTTGTTTTTTTTAAAAAAAAAGGACCAAATCTTTTGTTTTTTGATTATCAAGAGGAGAGCATTTCATGAAATGCCAAATTCTAAGGTAGTTTACATAGCACCATTAAAAGCACTTGTTTGTGAACGTGTTGACAATTGGCAGGGATAGATTGACCATACCAATGAAGAGACAACTTGTGGAATTAACTGGAGATATTACTCAAGATTTGTATACTATTGAAAAGTCAGATATAATAATCACAACTCCTGAAAAATGGGATAATATAAGTTGTAGTTGGAAATATCAAATTTATGTACAGGATGTATCTTTAATTATTATTGATGAAATTCATCTCCTTGGTGGAGCCATGGTCCTATATTAGAGGTCATTATACCACTAGCCGATTGGTTAGAAATCAAAGAAGAAGGGCTTTTTAATTTCAGCCATCAAGTTTGTCCAAACCTGCTATAGTATTTGCTTTGTCACATCATCAGACTCAATTAACTGTACAAGATCTGTATCATTTTTTAAGAATGCCTGAAGAAAGAAGTACAAGCAATTATGTTATAAGTTAATGATAAAAATTTAAAAATGTCACTTGAGTTTGGTGTAGGTCTTCATCATGCTGGTCTAACTGAAAGTAACAGAAAAATTGTTGAGGAACTTTTTCTTCATCAAAAGATTCAGGTGTTAGTTGTTACAAGTACATTGGCTTGGGACGTTAATTTGCCAACTCACTGGTAATAATCAAACGCACAGAATTAATAAATATTCGCGTGACAAAAGCGTAGATCTCTTACAAATTTGGATTTATTGAGCTCTTTATAAAGCAAGATCGACATAAAAATATTCGGCCAATGGCGCAGCACGAGATGTCTTTAGATGATTTGCGAATTCTGCAGATAAATTCCAAATTTGTACTTGAATGCATTGAGTTCAGTTTTTTTTTTTTTGAGAAATGCTTAATAATGAATCAAACTACAACACAAACCTCAGATGTAACTTCTCCATTCTTATCTTACGAACATAATGAGGAAAATGATGATAATAATGATGTTTTTATAAATGTGGATAATAATAATAAAATTGTTTTGGAAAATAATAAGTTTGAACGTTGGAGTTGGCTTTGGTGGATAAACTCAATTATAAGAATTTTTATTTTTGCAATTACGGGATCCACAACTGTTAGAATTGTCCGTCCAATAGTTGTTGGCGTATTTGGAATAGAAGGTAGGCAAGAATTATAAGTTTTTTAAACAATATTTATTTTTCTAATCAAATATTACATGTGTATGCATGTGTTTATTTTAAAGGATCTTTCAAAGAAGGACCTTGTTTATATCGATTGGTTTATCTCTATATAATGTTTCCAATGTACATTACGATTTTTTTAATTGTAGAAAAAATATTTTTAACATCTTTCCGATATCTTTTAAAAAAATGAGTTAAATAAAAATTTTTGTTTCCTGAAGGAGAATTAGCAAATATTAAGCAACCTTTTGTTGCTTGTGCTTTTAAAAAAATCGGCTTTTTTTAGAAAAATGTTAATTATATTTATCCACAATTCGTAATTAATTTAATTAATCATTACTTTCATCTTTATCTCAAATCCATCAATTTACTTTATTTATTATCATAAAATTGTAGAGCAGAGCTCCACACAACATCAGAGAATATTAAGCTTGAGAAAACTTTAGAGAATAATTGTATTAAACATCCAGTTTATTCGAAACAATATCTCATGGAATTCAAGAGAAAAATTCATGCGCCAGAATATCTATCTTATATTCAAATATCTTATCTGTAATACTTTCTTGGATAAATTCTATTCAAAAATAATTTTTTTATGTTACTCTTTAAAAATAATAACCTTTCTACTTATTTATATTTTGGTGCAATGTGGTTCCCAGCATCACCAATTAGTAATAACCGTTCTACAGGAACTGACGCTGCGGATATTTTCTAATTTTGCTAATGGAGAGAAATCTTTCTTATTTTCTTTCCACCATGTTAATGGATTAACATAACATCCCTTTAACTTTTGAAGACAAATAAATTGAAAATTCATCTTTCATTGTCAAATAGAAGTTCTTTCTATTGATTGATCATTTACTGAAGATATTTTTTTTTAAGAATTTGAATCAATTTAACAATTACTGAATTAACAAATATTCAAAAGTGTTACTATTGTTACAGACATCTAAAAGTACTACGGATGGATATTCGAAATATATAAATTATTTGACACTAAGTTCGAATATGTGATATTCAAATATCATTTCGGTTTTTGATATTTGAATGGGGACACTGGATCTTAATAATTGCGCCAGGAAAGTTTTCCTGGTGAAATTATAAACACCACTACGCCCCTATCAATAGGGCAAAACTATCTGATTTAAATTATAAGTAGTCTGGAAAGTTCAAGCAAGTTTCAAAAATAGAATTACATCAAAAGATTTTAATATTATGATATCAAATGTGATCTCTTTTTTTGTGGAGTGAGAGATTGCAATAGGTAAACTTGGAATACAGAACTTTTTGTTTCAAGGATTAAAGATTCAACAGGTGTAATTATTATACCTCGCTTTCTCTATTAACCCAAAAACGAACACACTTTCTTTTACTTAAGTCGTCTTGATTTAATTTATATAAAAGCTCATTTTCTATGGAAGGGCCAATGAAAATTGTTAGTATCAGATCTAATTTATATAAAGAATTGATTTCTAATATTACTCTAATTGCTAAATCGTTAACCAAGATTTCAAGTTTATTAAAATTTACAACAAGGCAATAATAAAATTAATGATTAATTTGATTAAATATTTGGGTGTATGTCCTTTTATTGGAAGATCTAGAGAACCGTGATTGATTTACTGAATTAAAATTACAAATATTATTATTAATACCAATATCCCGTTTTTTATCTTTAAAGGATTGAATTATGTAGTTTTGTCGAATCAAGATAAAACTCGTTTAACGGTTTCAGAATTGGAACAAATTTAAGAAATTAAAACTAGGTGGTATCGTAGCATGCCCATCACCATATATATTAATTGATAATCATTACTATTTTGATTTCTGTTTTTTTTCAACATTATGATGATTCTTAACCAAAAAAAAAAAAGCTTGAAACGTCCTCGAGAATCATTCGATAGAACAAATCCATTATTTAGACTTGTATCAGAAGGAGAAGATATTTTTATTGCTAAAAAAAAAAAAAAAAAAAAAGGGTGTACCAACACACCTGTAAAAAAGTTAAGGGCGAGCTTTGAAGTAACTGGAGATGACTTTATCAAATGTGCACAGAAAATTGAAGAATTATCAAAAAATGACAAACCACCAGAAAATTTGATATATAGAGCAAGGAAAACAGTGGATTATTTATATGAGCATTTTGAAGAGCTTTGGCTATCTGATAGTCAATGGGAAGAATTATCATCAATCAACTTTATACCTTGTGAACATCCAAAAGCACCTTACGATCATGTAATATATGAACAAAATCTACTTTACTCTTTTAAATCTCTTCATTTACCAATTTACAAAAATCTCATATGGACACAGGCGCCTATATACTCGTACAATGTTATACCGAATCATTCCTTTCTAACCAGATTTCCATCATTAAGAAATATTGAATTTCATATGTTATTAAATCATCTATATGAAATAATTGATACTATTATCAAAGCTGGCTTGGTACAATGGAAATCAATTAAAGCGACAAAAAAGTTAAAAAAGGTTATATTTGAAATCTACGAGTATTTGGATATGATGAACTATCGTGAATATTTACATAAAAAACTAAAAGAAAACGCATACATATTTTTGAACGGGGCTGATCCTTTTATACAAGAGAATTGGATGTGTGCAAAAAATCTTGTCTTAAATATAAGTGAAGATATCAGTTTGGATAAAAGGGCAGTAAGTCCTAAATTGTCTCGTTTTAAAAGATTGCTGTTGCTTTCAGGAGCGTCAGAGATGAAAAACATACCTGTAAACATAAAGTTGATACCTCGTTCTCAGAAAGAACGGATCACTGCTTCATTGGACAGGTTTTTGAAAGAACAAGAAAATGGTGTTTCTAAATTTTTTAAAAATTATAATGAACAAGCCAACATGAAATGGCCTAATGATATTTATTTTAATGTACGTAGTAAGAAGATAGGAGCTAATCGTTACATGTTGGCAGCTTCTTCAAATTATTTTGAAGTGATGTTTCTTGCGGGCACTAAAGAATCAAATCCTGACGAAATTGTTCATGTTAATGTGGATGATGTAGATCCTAATTCATTCCTAGTGCTTCTTGAATGGTTATATGGTAAATCACTATCTGAAGCTGTAATCCTTGTAATGACAACCAAGAAGAGGAATAAAAATAAAAATAAAAAAAATAGTAAGCGTAACAATAATAAAAATGGTCAACGTAAAAATACTAACAACAACAACAACAACAGCAATAATAATAAGTCTAATAAAGACTCAACATCAAATCTATTAAAATTATACATTGATCTACTTAATTGTTCAGAAAAATATTTAATAAAAGAACTTAAATATGAAGTTGAATATGAGATTATAAATGGTGGACTTGTATTGCCACAGAATGTGATTGAATTGAAAGGATGGGCAAAAATATATTCAGCTGGGCAACTTTATAATTATTGTAATAAATTCATATTAGTGAATTGTGAATTATTGTATGAACAAAGACAAGCTGAATTAATCAAAGTAACAGAAGAAGAACGTAAGGAAGAAATTGAATTTTTGGAAGAGGAGTTGGGCGACATGGTTCGTCAGATACGTAGAGCTAAAGAGCCAATGAGTATGGATATCTTTGGTGCATGGGGGCCTCTTGGTAGTTAAATTATCAATGAACAAAAAAAAATAATTGAAATCCTTATCTATCACTTTACAACATAATAATAAAATAAAAATAATTATTTATAATGTATAAGAATTTTTTATTTAAAGAAAATAGATAGACATATGTATTAATTAATCTTGAAAAAAAAAATAAAATGTAAGGAGATAAATGATTAATAACATTGACAAATCGTGACAATAAGAGCAATATTAGTTTAAATACGATATGCTGTAGAATTCGTCTGGCTCTAGCAATATCGTTTATATTTCCAATATTGTCATTTAATATTCTGCTTCTGTAATATGCCAATGGATGTGATGTTTGTCTTGGTTGAGGATTAAAATTATTATTATAAGGATTGTTTGTAATAGTTTCACTATTTAAATCTTCAAGCTTATAAAGTTCTTTGATAGCTGGTCTTTTAGAAGGCTCACTATCCCAACACATTTTCATCATTTCATAACATCCAAAATTAAATGTGATCGTGAGCTGTATTGACAAATGGTGGATGACCCGCAAATATTTAACACATCAACATCCCAACACACTATGAATAACTGATTATTTGATATGTTTACTTTCTCAGAGAATTTCTGGTGCACTGATATATTTTATTTGATAATAATTCATCATCAACTGGTTTACATAAACCCAGATCTGTGACATAGCAATTGTCTGTTCGTACTGGTATATTACTGCTATGCAAAAAAAACTTTTTTATGTGTATGATATTAGGATACCAACTGCCACTTATCATGATTGCAACCATAGTTGCTTCGTATAAAGTAGCAGTTACAACCTAATTGCAGCGGTTATCCTTGTACATCTAAACATTTTGATTCTCTTAAATTTCTTCATAATGTATGACCATTGTGTATTATCATTTTCAGGGAATTTAATAATTCGATGCCTAGAATTATATATAATTAATATAATCAAAAAACTTTTCTTCTAGCTCATTTGAATTATTTAACATTTCAATGCTACTTTGATGTTCATAATAAATAAATTTGTTTTATAATCGAGTATATATGAGTATATATATACTCTGTTTTCCATTTGGCAGTATGAATGAATCAAACCTACCATTTGTTAAATATTCAAATTGTATCCATTCCATAAACTGTCTTGGAAGAGATGCGAACTTTTGACAATTTGAATTAATTCATCAAACAATTTTATTTTATCAATATGTAACTCGATGCATTTTTCACGGAATATCTTGTAGATTTACAATTCTAGCATTTGATTGGTTTTCCTATTTATAAATAACGCTATTTAAGTTAAAACGATATCTTTCCGTAAAATTTTCATTTTCATGTTCTTTATTTTCTGTTATTGATGATAGGATTTAGATTTAAAAAGGTCTATTTGATCCATTGATATTTCTTTGAATTTATACGCCATTGGTGTAGAAGGAGGTTACACGACAATAATGATTGGTGAAAAAGCTGGATCTTAATGTATCCTAATTAGGGAGCTATCAAAGACGTCTAGTTGTCTTTTCATTTAACTTTTTGTTGCTAAAAAGAATTTCACCATTAAAATAAATGCACGGAAAATTTCGGAGAATTAAGACTAATGAAGAACTGTATGAGATGATTTTGGCTAAATAATATTGAAAAAAGGGTTCTGTAAAAAAGATTTGGCGGTGAAATGTTTATTTTTTAGAATTGGCTAATTTTAACTTTTTTTCCTCCCATTATTAAAATTTAAAAAAGTTCTTTTTTAGGCTGCTCCTTGGATCTTCTCATATAATAAGATTGCCAAAAGTTCTTTGTTCTATTTTATTTGATTATTGAGCCTATATACAATAGTAATATTTTTTTTTGATGTAGTTACAGAATATAAATGCAACTTGCTTACTTGTTGAAGTGAACCAATCAGATTTTATGAAGCGCGTTATAATAACAAAGCTTTAATAAAACGAACATTATAATTACGTTATTTAAAATTTCAGGGGTCTAAAGATTTTGATCAGTTATGATTAGTATTAGTAATGGGTTATTTACCGTGGTAAAAAGAATTGAGGGCAATTTGCATGGTAATAAAATTAGAGATAATAACATATCACGTATAACGCTTATAAACAGGTAAAAAATCAATAGCATTATTAAAATCTTGAAAGTTCAAAAAGTGTGCTTTGGGTAATTACTATCACTAATCATAAATTCACTCACACTAGATTCACTCTTTTTTCACTTTGGCTTTGACTTGATTGTTTGGCTTAATTTGGTTTGTTTTGCCTCAGCCCGCCGGCATTTGGGCCTTTTCTTAAATCTTTTGCTGGTCAATTGATTATTTTTTTAATTTACTGATCGTTTAATTGAAAAAATAAACCTCGAGTTATACATTTCCAGCATGTCTGGATTAACAGATTGTACTAGAAGCCTAACTACTTTTGTATCCATATTAAGGCATTCTACGATATATCTCTTTAACACATCAAAATATTTTTCGAATAAAACAAATTTTATTGTTGCTATGTTATTCTATGTAATACATTAACTATATGCTTATTCTATGTTAAATCCCTGTAATTGTGTAAAGTATACGCATAATATTTGCTACTAATTTTCCTGGCGACTATTAATATAGAAGCCACATCTGGTATTGGATTTAATAGATCATATGGTTTTGGTGTTGGAAAACGCAATAAAATGCAAGGTCTAAAGAAGATGCTCGCCTAGACTTATTTCAAAGTTCAGCATCGCTCTAGAAAGATAGAAAAGAGAAAGCTCTTAAAATAAATCTATATATTCAACTAGTGAGTTTTCTGATATATAGTCGAAAAACGGTTCTTACAATAAAGAATTAAAGCTATCAATGTTTAGTGAAGAAAATATTACTCGTTTTAAATTTGTAAATTATCCCACAAAAGAGGTTCTTGAGCAAGCTCAGATAAGTAACGTTCCTGTATCTAACTCATTAACAATCCAATAATGGTTATATTCATGGTAAAAAAATAAATTCAATTAAATGTTTTTAAAATATCAAAAATTTGCCCTTTATTTAGCTAAAAAGATGCATTTTACAAATATTTACTGCATGTTTAACGTCAAATTTGGTTTTTCTATGATTATTACAGTTGAAATTTAATGGTACAGAGACTCACACGATGAAACCTGTTGTCAATTGGTCACAAGTACTTTGCAACACGTACAGGCAGATATGGAGGTCCGGGATTTATCTGGGTACAACTATTCATTTCACTTTTTGAAAAATTTAACAAGGGCTGGCTGGTGTTTGAGATATACTAAAATTTCAACGATAAGTTCATTCAAACTTTATTGATTTATAAATGATTATATAGCTCAAATAACAATAATTTAAGAAATTTTTTTTAATTTTTCAGATTCTTTTTACCAATACTTTGAGTAATACAAATAAAAGTAGTTGGCAAATCAATAAATTTAATAAAGTAACAAAATTGCACATTACTCAGCAGTGAACACTTGCTCCTGTGTTTCGTATTGTGTTTTCTAAGATCCACAAAATTATTGAATAATATATTTAAAAGTATTTTGCCTCATTGAAAAATCATTTAGTTTTTTTTGCTTTGGAGTTTATTTGATCTTGCAAAAAAAAAAAAAAAAACTATTGAAGATGCAACAGTAAAAGATAATGAATCCTACCTTTTATGTCCAAATGCTTGGATAATTTTGTAAAGTTAATGATTATGGTGGTAGTACAATCGTCACTTAACAGCTTTGAATCCCTGCAATTTTTAGCTCGCTCCGTTGCAACCGTGCTCCATTAATACAAATAGCATATACTATATAATTTTAATAGTGAGTGATAGATAAATCGGGAAAATAGCGTGATTATGAATTGGGAGAATAGGAATAATTTTTATTTTGGCGTACATATTAATAATTAGTATTAGTATTATTATTAATTACTATTATTATTATTACTATTATCATAATCATTATTATAGTTCGTAACGGTGGTGAACTGATTGTTCGTGTAACTTCTAACAGACCGGTAGATCAAAGATTTTTTTTAATTTCTGCATATATATTAATATGTAAAGAAATTCTTTTGAATAAAACTATGAATAGAAAAGATTTCATTTTTTTAAAAAAATTTGAACCTTTTTCATATTTATTGATTTTGAATTTAGAAAAATTTTTTTTACTAATTTAAAAAAAAAAACTAGTTTTTAAAGAATTAAATATTTTTCCCATTAATGAATGAAAAACTAGTTTTTAATGATAACTAATTAGTAATTATAAGAATACCCTATCAAGTTAATTAGTTAATTAGCGGGAATAGATTAAAGATAATATCTTTAATTCTTGACTCTTACACGGATGGATGGGATGGTATAATCTTGTAAAAGACACCACGTTGAAAATGATATATACACATGTTCAATTAAAATTTATATAATTGCAGATTATTGTACGTGTGTACATTATGTAGGGAAATTGAAGACCGGTTATAAACCAGTAGTTAAACGCATTTATGACCAAAGTGTTTGATAGTTTAGTCTATTTAGTATTAGTAAAAACCCTCGTTTTATGATTTTCAGGGGCCGGCGCCACAATTGTGTAATGTGTGCGTCCTCTTACTTCATAATTAAAGTACGGGGGTTTTTCTTTATTGGCAGATAAGATTTTCAAATTATACCAAAAGACAACAGTTGAGTGTGTAAATCATGTTGTAATTGTTGTAAAAGATTTAATGCTGCTGGATTGAATAAACTCGACGCTATTATGTTCAACGTTTTGATGTTCCAAGAAACTCAAAATCTCTGCATTTCTTTTATAATTGAAACTAAATGACAGAAATTTCCACTATTATCATTAACGGATTAAAGCCTTATCATTTCCTATATGACACCAACTCACTTCTATGGATCTTAAGCGCCAAGAATATCTGTGTAATAATGACTGCTAATTTACCAGAGATGAATTTAAAGACATTATCACTTGCCCAAAACAAAATGTTGACAACTAACTTGAATGCTAATCGTGCTATAATTTAGATTAATTTTATATTTAAATGTTATATAGAGATGATTCTATGCATCAACTAGCAAGCAAGCAGGAAAATATCTTTGCAAGTATATTTCTTTAAGTAAGCTTGCATCAATTCTTCATTACCAATATAAAAATAAATAATATGAAAAACAATATCTGTTGTTTTACAAAGTCGTTTGTAATTGGGGATGATGAGTGTAGGCTATTGATAAGTTATTTGAAATGGATTGATTATAATGTTGGCGTTAGGACAAAGAGTACTAGTAGTGAAGAAATCGAAAGACTTTGAGACCTTACTTTCCTTGGGGGAAGTGAGTATCTTGCTGCGAATTGGAATTGAATGATTGAACTTGAGATTTCAACAATTAATTACGTTGAAAAAAATCCTCCATCTAATTACAATAATATACAACAAGTTAAAAGATCTTGATAACAGCATGCAAAAAAGACACTAGACAATAAAGAAAAAATTTGAACCCCATCAGTACTTATATCTAATCTACACTTTTGGACTAGTTCAATTATTTTTATAAAACTGAAATTTGTGGCTTTTGTCATTCACTTTGGACCCTAAAACCTTTTTGTAGCGTGTTGTTGTTGTTCACTTAAAAGATTACTAATATTAACTAATAATTATTTATTTAACCAGTCAAATCAATGAGATTAATTGTAAAATTGTTTATTTTTTTAATAAATAAAAATTTAATTTACACAACAGTTAGTAAATCATCACAAACTTAATCCTCAATTACCTTTTAAAGAAGAAAGCAAGGAAAGATATGCATAAACAAATCCACTAAATATTAATTAATTTTTATTTTTTTATTTTTTAAAATTATTTTTTCCCATAATTATTTTTTTCTCACTTTAATTATTTAACTTATTCTTTCTTTTTTTCGTTAATTCCTTTTTTTTTTAAGAAAAGTCTTCTTTCATTATTATTGCTATTGTTATTATTGTTATTATATATATGTTTCAGACAGTATCCGGGCTTTTTATACGTGCTTAAATATACTACATAAAATATATTGCAACTCTAATATATGATAATAATAATAATATAAATACCAGAGAATCCACTTTCTTTTATTAAAATTTTGCTCTTTCACATTCTTTCTCTCTCCAATTATTTAACTCACTTGCAGACAAATATTTTTTATTTTTCTACATTTAAAAACATCAAAACATAAAAAGAAAACGATCGCGTTTATTTGATTAATATTTCCTTTTTATATTTTTTATATTAACGTTATTATTATATATATATATAATAATTGTATATAATATTCTATAATACATAATATATAAATATAAATAAATATATTTTATGTAAAAGTTTTTATTTTTTTTTCTTATAAACCTTAAAAAATTTATATATAAATACACGAGAAAAAACTTTAAATAAAGGTAAATTTTTTTTTTCTCATGATTAATTACGCACATTTTTGTTGGTTCCTAAAATAAATAATCTTTAAATACTAATAATTATTTCTCTCGAAAAAACAAATTTCGTTTGCATAATTAATTATTCTTTTAATATACACACACAACAGCACATACATATATAACACAAAAGTTCATTTGTAATATATAACTTTGCTTCTAATCATCCAATCAACAAATAATTAATAGCACAAAAATAATTTTATAAAAATGAATATACACCCGGAAATTAATTCTTCGAAATATTCAACAACAACAACAACGACGACAACTTCCAATACAACTAATGATATTTCAATATCATCAATTAATAAAAATAATAACAATAATAACAATAATATCGATAAATCTGTACAAAAACAAAAAATCGGAGATAATTTCTCTTCTCCTCCCACCTCACCAAAAACTAATGTGTTTTCTTTAGGAAAGAAAACTTCAATCAAAAAATTTCCTTTCCAAAAAAGACCAAAATCAGAATCATCAACTACTTTACTTTTCTCCTCAAACTCCCCAAACCCCTCCACTTTATCATCGATAACAGCAACAAACAATTCTTCTTCTTTTATGTCAAAAAAAACAAAAAATAAAACGAGAAGAACTTCTTTAATTACAACAAAGTTTAGTAATAATAATAATAACAGCAACAACAACAACAATAACGACCACCAAGAAGAAAATAGAAAATCAATAAAGAAATTCGCTTCAGCAACTGCTTTAAATTCATTAGCGTCATCATTATCATCGCCACCATCACCGCCACCATCATCATCAACAAGAACTTCAATTTCATCATCGTCGTCGTCGTCGTCATCATCATCATCGTCGTCGTCGTCGTCCATATTTTCTAAAAAACATACATCTTCAACAATCGATGAAAAACCTCCTCAAATACCACCAATATACACATCTTCAATAAATTTATCAATACCCGAATCGGATCCGAGTATGATCAATAGTAATAGTAATAGTAATTCATGTGAAGAACCATCTCCAAAAGATTATTTACACAGTACTACAACAACAATGACATCACCTTCTTCTTATTCCTCGTATTCCTCTACTTCCTCTACTTCATCTACTTCCTCATCCTCATCTCCTACATCTACTATAACCTCAACCTTTTCAACTTTCGCCTCAATATCATCAGATCAACAACCACCGCCACCGTCATCAACACCAACACCACCCGTAATCGAGGATGAACCAACAAATCTAGACATAAAATCTTTTCTAGCTGCCCCACGCCTAACACAACGTGTCAGGTTAAAATCTGGTAGAGTGGTCAGTTTTTCTGAAGTGGGTGATAGAAATGGGTTTCCAGTTTTTGTTTTCTTGGGAATGGGTTGTGTAAGATATTTTATAGCTTTTTTCGATGATCTTGCTATAAGCTATGGTCTAAGATTAATATGTCCGGATCGTCCTGGAATTGGTTTATCTGATGATGTCAAAGATGATGATCAAGGAGTTTTAAAATGGCCAGGTAAATATTATTATATACAGATAGTGATATATATATCTAGTGGAATCATATTTATAATTATTTATTTGTTTAATTAAAAGATGTGATAAAAGAAATGTGCGATATGATGGAAATACGAAAATTCTTTATAATGGCTCATAGTGCTGGAGCACCTTATGCTCTTGCTTGTGCAATGAAATTACCTGAAATGTTACAGGGCACGATATATTTGGTTTGTCCCTGGATAAGTACTGCAGTAGCGAACAATTTCAAATGGTTGAAGTTTGTGCCAACACCATTGATGAAGCTAACAAATTCCGCTGGTATATCGCTACAACAAATGATTCATGGTCGCCAACCCTACTCGACAAAACAGAATCACAGAACATCATCAGGTGCATTATCGGCTCAAATGTCAAGTTTTGACAAGAAACAACAACTTGGCTTAGCGATTTTGAAAGCTTCATTTGCAGAGAATTTGACAGGTGCAAATAATGATTTGGTAATGTGTTTTGAGAGAAAAAGACCATTTGGGTTCTCGTACACGGATGTGAATCATCCTGTACACGTGTTCCATGGTACCAAAGATGATCGGATTCCGGTTGCTGCTGTAAAATGGATGGAAGAGTGTATGCCTGATTGTAAGTTGACATTGATAAATGGCGGGAAACATTCTTTGTTTTTACGTGCTGAAGTGGTTGATACGATATTTAGATCGATTGCTATACAACTTCATGTTAAAGATGATTGTAGATTGTGTAGGATGTCATCAAAATGTTGGTTGATGGAAGAAGCTGAAATTCGAGAAAGGGAAAGTGAACTATTAGAGAAAAAGAAAAATTCCATCGATAGCAATAATAGTAGTGATTATAGTAGTATTTTGGTTGATGTTAGCAATAGTTTGGTTGATGTTAGCTATAATAACTTGGGAGATGGTGATGATGTTGAAGATGATAATAATAATACAATTGAGGAATCACCACCGCAGCCAACTAAAAGAAGAAATTTAAACCCAAATTCTAGAGATTCAAGTAAAAGGAACGGGATAATTCATGCGGTACCTGCTCCTAATATGAAAACTGGATCAATGAATTTGCTCTTGGATAAAAAAAACCAATCTGCAAGAACTTCAACAAAAAAAGCTGTATATAGTTATTATTAATATATTATTTATTCATATATTCATATTTTTATATATTCATATATTCATATTTAATTAATTATTCATTTTTTTTTACAAAATTAAAAATTTATTATCTTATTTTATTATAAAATATTCATTTTAATTAATCAATTTATTTTTTTTTTATAAACTGCATACATAAATCAAACATTTCGTATCACATACATACATGCAATACACTTTTAATAGCATTTTTTATATAAAACAATAAAAAATTATAATTATAATAATTATACGTAATTTTGTATAAAGAAAATATTTGAAAAACCAAATTATTTTGTCGTTATTAATTATTTTTTTGTAATTTAGATTATTAGATTAATAAAGGAGAATCAATAACAGCCAATCCAATTGCAACACCACCTTCTTTAATCTCACTACTTTTACTTCTTAACACATTACCAATGCACTCATTCACAATTATTTCCTCGCCATCATCATCATCATCATCTTTAATTTTTTTAGAAATAAAAACACCAAATGTGCCCAACTCGGAGATTATTTTACATTTAATCAATTCACCTTTCCTTAATAAAATATTTGAAATTGCTGGCGGTTTAATCAAATCCATTATAATATATTTTTTAAGTTCTTGCGATGACGACACTGACGAAGATTTCAATTTTTTAATAGTGTTGACCATTTCCTCGCCATATAAATTATTACCACCTCCTTCACGTTGTGGTTTCATCACATAATCGTTTGGATTATCAATCACTGATTTAAATATATCATTGTTGGAGTGAAATTGATAAAGATTGGCAAAACACGATCTAATTTTTTTAGCGTCAATCGGATTTTTTATATATTTTTCTACAATATTTGGCCTGGCTAGAACTTGTTGAAATACTTTAAATCCAACTAATTGATAACTGATTGATGGACATTTTATAGATTTTGATCGTTCGATCATTAATCTTGCATTCCATTCCTACATATATATATATATATATATATATATATATATATATACACGCACAGCAAGTTTTTGCAATTAGAAAAATAATATATTTTGTAATACATAATACATACATTTTCACTAGGATAATCTCCTGGTCCATAACCTGCGCGAAAATATGTTACCGAAACTTCTTTACCATTTCTATGCCAATTTAAATTCAATGAGCTTTTATTCAATTACATTAAATTATAAATGATTTTATTTTACTTGCATAATTAAAGCTTTAGTTTTCTCATTTAATTTTCCTTCTAAAAATATTTCTAAAAGTGTTTTACGTATTAAATCAATTTTATGACTTTTTTTTTAGTTCGTTTTAAATCAAATGGCAAGAAAAAAGAACAATCAAAGCAGCTTTAGTATTTCAATATAAAAAAAAAAAATTTTTTTTTTACGTACTTTTTTAATAAATTATATTCAATCCATCTTTGATCAAATATATTCCATTCGTCACTTTGTACCACCATTAATACTACACTACTATTATTTAATCAATCATTAATTAATATAAAATTTCAATACACACACACACACACACACACACACACATATATATATTAAATAAATACTTTTCAGATCCATAAAGTTCATGAGCAACAGAAATTCCTTTTGGCATATTAGAAATGGATTCATGATTTATAAAATTTTCAATTTGGAACAAATTTGATGAATTAAAATAATTTGTAGACTTAAAAAGGTATCTATATATGTAGAGTGTATATTGTTATTATTATTATTATTAAAAATAAACGTATAATTAATTAATATCTATGAATTAATTACTTGTGAAGTTCACCAGTCAAGTATCCTAAACTTGTTAATGCTGATGATATAGTATTAAATTCAACTTGTAGAATTTTCAATTCTTCATTATTTGGCAATGATGATGAATGTAAAAGATAATCTGATCTATGTATGCCCAATGTTATTGGCTTTAAAAAAATTTTAATTTTAAAAATTAATTATAATATTTTAACCTTCAAATAATGATCTAACCTGAATATTTCCTTCCTTTCTAATTTTGAGATATATATCATAAAGTTTTGCAATGAAATCATCCACGTTAGAAATCCTAGAAAAATTATAATAGCAATTATATCATTATAATTTCTCAAATTCAACTATTTAAATATTTATGTGCACACACACTCTTCAATAACATTAGAAATCAACTGGTGATCATTGGATAATTTGTGATACAAAACATTAAAAAGTGGTTGTAATTCCACCACCAAATCAAACTGTTTTCTAGGGAATGGTGTAGGCAATAATGATATTGGTGCATGCAGAACTGATGATGATGACTGTTGTTGATTGAAATTCTTTGGTCGAATATTTAATCCATGTGAAAGTGACCAATCAATTGCCAATTTTTTAAGCTGTTCAAGATTTTCATTAGATAAATTTAGTGGTGGGTAATCATCAACAAGAACGATATTGGGAATTGATGATGTTGTGGTGGTGGTCATTTTTTTTGCTCCTTTGAAAAAACTTTTTTTTTTTTTTTTTTTTTGAAAAACAAAAAAGATTATTATCATCGATAGTTTCATCAAATTATCATCAATAGTACAATAATGATTTTAATACCCGATGCTAAATGTAATCCTTATATTTTATCACTAATGGCAATAATAAAAAAGTTAATTATGAAGAAAAAATTTTTATATTTATGTATGTTGTACGTGAAAATGAAATTATGTGAATTCGCAATTCACATATGTGAAATTCAAATTAGCCAATCAGAATTTCACCCCACTCCATAATATTTCAATTTCAATTTCACATACATAAACAAATAAAAAAATTATTTTCATCAAATTTCATCATTTGATTTGTTACAAAACAAATATACACACATTGAGTTTCTTAAATTAGATTATAAAAAATTTATTTCTTTCCATAAAATTCATGATGTTTTATACTATAAACAAAAATTAATATCATTAACACAATCATTTTGATAATAGGTTACAGAAGGCTCATGTTAAAATTCGTGAAACTGAAGGATGTGACTAATGTATGCCAAATATGGAATTTCTATTTAAACAATAACAACATTACTATTACTAGATATGGCGGATTTTGGAATCGGACCTTTTTTCAATTTTGATGAAATCTAATTAGAACAACAAAAACCCATCACTCGTATATAGTAATCACAATCCTAATCCAATTGATCCCTGAAGCTTTATAAAGCGGTTTTGTTCACAAATAAAAGAAATTTTAGCCTGAAATTACGATTAGGTTTTCAATAAAATTATACATATATATAAACAGGCCAAAAAAGTTTCACCCTTTTTTTTTACTATAAAAAAATTCGATAAGTCGGCCTCACGTGATATTTCATTATGTGAAGGATCATTACTATTTTAGTAATCGATTTAATGTAGAAAAATTATCTTTATTGTTCATTTTTTATAATTTAGAAGGAATAGAGCATTCTCACTTGTGAATTAGATTCATATTTTATTACACATCCATTTTTTCTTGTCAAGTAATTTTAAAAAGAGAACTTTTTTTGCTTTAATCATTTGATGATTTATCATGAATAATGCATTAATATTTTATTATCTCAACAGTTGTATCATTGATTGTATCATTCATTTATCATGAATAGTGCATTAATATATTATCATCTCATCAGTTATATCATCAAGAATCCAGAGAACATTCTTGTCTAATCACAAACCATACATCTATATTTATTTATCTCATTTTTATATCATCATTTTTATATCATCACTTATACCATTGATTATCTAGCATGAAGAAATGCATTTGTATTCCTATTAAATTATTATGTTCAGAAATATGTATAAAAAGATTGATTTTGCAGCCTTCTAATGTTTGAGATAAAAGATAAATAAATAAAATATTTTAAATTTAAAAAATCATGTGAAATTCAATAACTCAGTTCTCTCAATAAGTCGGTCACAGGGTCTGCCCTGACATGACCAACTTATTGAGTTTACATATGTAATGACAATTTCGAATCAAAAGATTTATCATGCTCGTTTGGAAGCAATATCAAGGTAAGGTAAAACTAAAGAAAAACGGGGATGGAATCATGTATTAGGTGAAAAAATCGATTGAAAGAGTGAAACTTTGACAAGTATTTTCTTTGTGAATTATTTATTTGTGCAAGACATTATTAATAATAACAGTGACAATGATCTATTTTAATTTGTTAAGTGTGCTTTTATCTAGGCCTTTATTATTATTTTACTCTCTGAAAAATATTCAAAGAGCCAGTTGAAACCATGTGGATAAATATTAAAAATGCAGAGGAATGTGTAGAATTATTAGTCAAGTATTAGTTAAATCTTTATATGATTACTCCATTTTTATAAGACATTACAAACAAATTGTTAATTATTTTAATTGTACAAAGTATGCTTTACCTAAATATATGAAGATTTAAATGTAAGGAATCATAATCTATTCATTTATTCTTTTATATTTGTTTTTTTTTATAAAAATATCAAGAAGCTAAAACTATTGTCAAAGCTACTTTTTTTTCAAAAATAGCTTGAACTGGAAACCTTAACCTACACTCTTGATAAGATTTCAAATAATAGCTTTGTTGACATAATGGCATAATTGGTGGGTGCAGTCTTGGATTCATGCAATTGCTCTGGTAATTTTTATCTTATATCTTTAATAAGTTTAAAAAAATAAATAAACTGCACATGAAGTCAAAATGGTTGAAATTACATCATACAAGCTGAGCATACAGAAAAATCTTCAGATTTGGACAACACCTGGCTGTTTTAGATAAAACAACTATCATTCGAATCCTCTTGATGAGTCAAGTCTAGTGAGATGTAATTCATCACTGATTATTGAGGGTATTTTGGTTTACCATAGATCTTACAATAACTCACCATTTATTGATGCTATGAACATTAAAATACCATTATTCAAATCCTCTTTATGAGACTATTTTAATGAGCCATGTTCATTATTGATAATTAATTTAATTATAGCCATCATGTGATTTGGCATAATTTCAACCATTTTGACCTTTTGGGGAAATTAATTTCAACTTTGTGTATAAAACAAACATGACTATACATGCAGCCCAAATTGGTTTGGTGATTTGATAGTCAAAATTATTCCAATTTTGATGGTAGAAAGTAGAAATTAATTACGGCATTCACTATTAAAAATATAAGTGTAACACCCCTTTACTACATATGTAACCCCCTTTATGACAGTGTCAAAATATTTTGGGCTGCATGTATAAACATGACATAGCCTTTTATTACTATTAATTTTTTCTTTGTGCATGAATGATACCTTTGCCCCCATACATTACACAGTGAGGCTTGATTTAATTGATATTTTTTTCCAGATAATTTATTATCTGTTAAATCAAGAGATCCACAAAAATGAAACTTATGATCAAATCAAATGATACAAATTAAATGCAAAAAAAAAATTTTTATAAAAAAAATTAATGATAATTATCATAGTTAACTCATAACTCATCAATTCACCATTGATTTGCTTCTTGGGTGTTTCTATAAGAAGTTTTATTTTATTGCTGTTTTATCCATATCATTAGAGATATTAAAAAATATCTGGTAAACTGAATATATATTAATATGAAAAATCAGTTAAATCTGTTAATGTGGATAAAATAATAATAATAATTATTATAGAAAAATTTGTTATCTGTTAAGCCCCTAAATCCATTAAATTGAGGTCTGCTAAACTGAGATTCACTGTATACAATACATTACAATGTTTGCAATGATTACTCAATGCATTTGATATTATTATTGACATAACAAATAATTGCATCACCTAGGTAGTAATAACCCATAGAAATAAAAATACAGAATAGGTGCAGAATGCAAAAAAGTACAGAAATAGAAAAGATATAAATTTCCATACTAATACTTTTATACATTTCCCATACCTTTGTACATTTTTTGCATTCTGTACCAACTCCATATTTTATTTTTATTAGGATACCAAGATCATACAGAAACAAAGCTTTTAATAATGTGTGTTCCAGGCTTCATAAAAATAGATAAATGATTCTATCCCCCAAATCAGATTTGGCTGGGTGCTGCTAGAGAGAATCAAAAAATATTTTCCTTCCCAATTATAAATCTGATAATTATCACAGGTGTCAGATTTATTAAATTTTCCTATTACAAACATGCAAGACAATGGAATTCTAACCACCTCCCAGCACCATGAAAAAATTTTTTTTCCCATAGGTGAGATTATTCGATCACATTGGAAGGCTTTGGAAAGTGACAGATACAAAAACTTCTCCTCAGACTAGAATTGGTTGTTTCCATATGATGCTTATTACTGGCAATGGGGTTGGTGTTATGTAATATTTGCTTTGTGTTATGGTGTAAAGTTGGTGTCTGCAGTTCAGGAGGTTATTACTTGATTAGATCCAAGTGTTTAGTTTTGCCAATACTAGGTTGTTGCTTTGTTGATGGTACACCTACTCACAAACAAGGGATTGGACCTAGAGTAAGGAATTATTTGGGCAAAAGAACCAAGTCTCCTACCCTATTTAAAAAATAATAAATACAGTTAATCAAATAAGAGATTATCAAAAAAGCAGATAGTTAATTTAAATGGAACATAACAGGCTAAGTCTGAATTATTTTATGGCTTTCCAAAACATAAATGCAATTTAAAAAGTTTGGAGCTTCCAACTTTATGAGTTGAAAATTCCTAACATTACAGCTCTTAAGAATTCTGCAACCTACCAAGTCACAAGTTCTTAGTCATCAAACCATGTTTAGGATTGTTGCAGACAACTTATTAGCCTTTCCTAGTCAGGTGCTGTGAGAGAAGATTAAGATGTCATTGACAATGATGGAGTTCTGATAAATTCCAGGCCAAGCTATCCCTCCTGGAATTTTGTCACAATATTGTATCTTAGGGAAGTCAAGATCAGATTAACCTTTTGTAGACAAGGAAGTTGAGAATGGTAGTATATAGTATTTAGTGTACTCCAACACTAGTAATCAAATGTTACATATCAATGATTTCATCATTAGTGTTTCCAAAGTTGTTGTTTAGAAGTAGTTTTCTATCTTCAAGTGCTCCGATTATTTATTATTTTGATAAAAAAAACCTTGTGATAAATACCCAGGGACGTGACAAATCCTGTTTTGCGTTTTAACTTCAATAAGATATTTATGAATGGAAAAAAACAAAGCATTTCTGGTTATTAATTAATAATACATCTTATTAATGAATAATATCTTTTTTAGTATATACCAACTGTTACAAATAACAACACTGAATCATCTTGATGGGTGGCGGGAGATGAAAAAAATATTGTTTTGAGGGAATCTGAAAACGATCTACGTCTCAACAATCATCGGTGATACAGAATATACTATATGGGGGGCACTCTAGGAAAACCAGGCGTCGAGTTTCGTGTTACGTGTAATTTTCATAACAAAAACATATGAAAATTACACGAACA